ACCCAGCAACTACCGGTCCCCATCGGTTTCAATTGATCAGCATGTTACTGGACGAGCAGGAAAAAAGCGTGATGAAGAGAAGGGTCTGGAAAAACAAAAACTCAGGAACAGTGGGCCACCATGCCAATCCTTATAACAAACCGCGTGGGATCCTGAAGCGGCGGTTCCTGGCCTTAAGCCATGGTGTTGCAGTGGCTGAAACCGCGGTTGACGCTGTTTGGTCACTGTGGTGGGCGGCTGACACTCAGTGGCCCTACCCTATACCCTACATCATGGCCCGATTGAGGGGTTTGTTTCAGAAGTGACGGGCGGTTTGCCAGGCAAAATGGGGAAGGAGGTATGAGGATTACGCGGGTAACGTATCCACGCCCTGGTGCCTGAGTCGGTCCCGAGGTTGAGAGTAACATGGCTGACAGCCTGGTTGGTCACTTTGTGTCAGATTCAACAATGGCCATTATCACTCTTTTTGCCCTTTTTCCTGTTTCTCTGTTTTGGTGACAGGGGATATGGTAAAATACTTAGTTTCTGATTTAAAAAAGAAAAAAAAAAAAAAGCGCCGCGATAATCAACGTGCTGATTCTGCAACGATTCCCCATACACACTAAAGCACACCACCCAGCCCACCCCCCATAGTGGATGCAGCAGATTACCACTGGGCCTCCGCCGCCGTTTAATGAGGAAGAATCGGTCAGGCGGGCCGTGGGTCGCAATAATAACAATAACGAACTTGAGGCCCAAATCAGGTTGTCGCATTGCCTCTGCTGCTCGCTGTTGGCCCGCCGCAGAGTAATCCTCTCTCTCATTAGCTCATTCCCTCCTCTTTGGACTCCTCCGTCCTCAGTCGACGAGTCGCCCTCCTTTCCCTCTCCTTCTCCCATCCCGTCTCTTTTCAGATTTCGCCCCTCCCCGCAAGTCGGATGCTGCTCTTGAGCGCCTCCATCTCGTCCACCGTGCTTCTAGTACTGTGGACGAGCCTTCTAGCGTCTCGCGATTCGCGTCGTTGATACTTGAACCCCTTTTCTTTTACTACCTTATTATTTCGTACTGCCCATCTTTTTCATTTTTCGAACTGCCTATCGGCGTTATTGTTATTAGTGTCATTTTCTGCCGGGATACGTGCTCCATGTGTGATTAACGATCCCGCCCATCGCCAATTGCATCATGGAGCCGATATATTTCACCGAGGTCGACGAGTCTCGGTACCGCACTGAAGTTCTTCTTCTACCTTCCGAGGAGTCAGAAACGGCGCGACAACAAAAATTGGTGGAGGATGCACGTCAACTGGGGCTAAAGGTGCCGGAAGTCGAGGTGGTGGCATCTCTGGCTGCATCCATTGCCTCCGGTATGGTGGACTTGTCCTCTCCCATCAGATCCTCTGGCTCCTCGACCGATCGCAACTCAACATACGAAGTCATTCCGTCCCTCGAGACCCCGCCGCATATCGATCAACTTGCCTCGTCCCTCTCCGATTTTACCGTCGCCTCCGAGCCTGTCCAGGCTGGCAGCACTCGGTCATTCGCGTCCATGTCTACTCGGCCGACATCTTATAGCTCTTTTGAGGGAAGGTTGGCGCCGGGGATAGATAGCCTAGCCGCTAGGCCACCCGGGAACCGTGCATCAATGTTTAGCATGACCTCCGCGGACAAAAGGGAAAGAAGAAAATCAACGCTTAAGTCGGCAATCGGGAAGATCCATTTTAGGAAGAAGCGATCGCCATCCCCCGTCCTCCTTCCGCCCGCCGCGCAGATCACCGTCGCTAAAGGCGAAAAAGGCGTCGAACGAGTATATATCGAGTCGAAACCGTCGGAAGCACAAAATAACGATTCCGCCGAGGAAGATAAACAGGTTCTCAGGCTGGAGATTCCTGTCTTCGACCATGAATCGATGCAGCGAAGCTTGGATGATACACAATTATACCAGATGCGCGAGTCCCACATAGCGGAGATGAACCGGCATAATGCTTTTCAGGATGCATTCATGGCACAACTGCGACGGAGACAGCAGTCTATCGTTACGGACCAGCTTGCAGAGAACAAGCGCACGGAAGAAAAGAAGCGCGAGAAGGTTCGTCACTTTTACTAATGACTGTATCATAGTTACTGACCTTTGCAGAACACGGCCGATGCCATCCGCATGGAGGAACGACAGCTTACAGTGGAAATGGAGCAAATGCGAGAATTCGAACGCGCGAAACTGAACTCGCGCACGCGCATCAAATACATGGAAGGGTTCTTTAACAACTCGAGCCCGCCGCCATCGCCCGTATCCGGATCGAAAGCAGACACAGTGCCGAGTCGCAAGTTCACCGCGCAACACAAAGCTCAGTTGGCACAAGAGTACCACGATCACAACACCATGGACCAACTGCATCAAGCCAAGATCAAGGTGTTGCGCGACCGCCAAGAACTGCGACTCCAGGAAGCTATCGCGCGAATGGAAAGAGAGCTGGACGATCTGATTGACAAGCATGCCCTGGAGTTTGCGCGGATGCAGCAGAAGCATCAGCAGGAAGAAGCAGACACTTTACAAGCATTTGACGCCAAAAAGTCGAGGTTACGACACCGCTGGACCCTGGAAGAAGCCATCTTGCGAAAGAAACTGGAAGTGCAACACGGGCACCCGTACGGGCCGCTGCCCCCTTTGTCGTTTAACGACTCGCATTATGAAACGCGCGACTCGGCCATTTGCGTGACCGACCAGACAGGATCTGCCAGCGGTGATGAGGGACCGGTGCACCACAAGAGAGGGGGACAGGTGCTTTGATTACGATGTGATGCCTAAGTGATACCCTTTCCTTTTTCCCTCGGTCTCATCATGCATATATGCAGTTCCTATATACTACTACACTAATGTCTCATACTCACTACACTTTCTACACTTTTTGTAATTAATTACTTTCTTGTCACTCCTTGGCCTTTCGTTACACTTCTTCTGTCGCTGCCTGGTGTCGTTCAGGAGCGAGCATCCAGCATCATACACGACAGCCGCTTTTATACAGGTTCATTCATGTGCATAGCGTTGATAGTGGATATTCCCCTTCATAATAGACCTTGTTTTATGTTTCCAATCGGACGGTCAGTCCACAATATGAAATGATGAATTCTAACAAAATCGGGAGTATCTGAAAGCACAGCTCGCTAGTCATGCACCCAGTAGACGCCAATAAATACACATAAGACCCATATATCCGTCAATCACACATCAGAAACCGGCGAAGCAGATCCAACCTCCTTACCATTCCCACGACGCTTCCCCAACCTCTCCAACAACGTCTCAACCCTCCCATCCCCTCCCGTAATAACCCCCTCAGTCTGCTTATCTCTCCCACTATCCCCAATCACCACCGCCCGTTCCACCACCCCCGTACTAGAAATCTTGAACCTCCCCACGCGCCCATCCTCCCACTCCACCCGCACATAAACCGCCTCCAACGCCGTCGGCGCCAACGAGACAATCCCCAGCTCATTCTTCGCTATGCGCGTCTCCTCCCCAGCACCACTACCCCCAGTCGCCGCCGTCGTAGAAGCATTAGGGCCAAGAATATCCCTCTCCCACGGCCTCTCATCATCCTCATAGATAGCATCATCATCATTGACCCCGCGTCTCACAACACCCAACTTTTCTCGCAGGTAGCGCACCGCATCGCACCGTAGATGCCACACGACTAACTGCTTGCGCACTTCCCGTACAAAGGACTTGAGATCCTGTTTGCGCGTCTTGTGTTTCCATGGTTTGAGCTGTCGCTCCTGTTCCTGGTCCTCGTCCATCATCGCGTCTTCTTCCCCATCCTGGGAAGTATTTAGAGCGGTTGAAGTCGGCAGAAACACTTTCTCCAGTTTCCTCATATCCACCACTGCCGGAACGGTATGTTTGTGTACGCGCACTTCTCTCTTCTTCCCTCCTTCTTGGGGTGTCTTGGGGGATATCCGTCGGAGGAGAATGTAGTATGGTTTCGTGTATGTTCCGTCGCGCGCGCAAATGTCTATTCGGATGCCGAGGAGGTTGGGAGATTCGGATGTGGGTGAGGGGTCAGTGAAGGGGAAGGTGGTTGTGGAGAAGGCGATGCGGTGGTGGTTCGTTTGCGCGTGCGTCGAGGTGCTTTGGATTAGGGGGGAGATGTCGGTCCATTGTTGTTGGTGTTGTTGGGAGGGGAGGGTTGGTGGTTGGGTTTTGGAGAGGCGTTGCAGTGCGCGCGAGGAGAGGAGGCTGCTTGTTAGGATGCGACGGCGGTGTTGGAGGGTGCGGACTAGTGATCGGGTTAGTTGGTCGTTTGGGAGTGGGGAGTTAGGGGACGGACTTTCTGCGCGAATGGAGGAGATTTCGGAGTCGAGGTCGTCGGTGTCCATTTTGTTGGTATAAGGGATGTTGTTTGTTGTTTGGGTGGTGGAGGGTTTAGTGATGGAGCTCGGGCGGAGATAGATACGACTACTATGTTTGGTAGTGGTGATAGGCGGTGTTTGTTGACAGGAGCTGCATCACGTGAGGGGGGATCCCGGGCCCGCGGCTCCTTTGAAGGTTGCAGTTCGATTGGCGGGTGAAAATGTATCCTGGTCTGTGATCCACCGTGCTGGGTCGGCTGGGTATTTGCTTAGTCCTTACTTTTGGGGGAAGGGGAGGAGAGTTGAATGTTTATCCCTGAATAGGCTATTGAGGTGTATGTTGAATAGAGTTGTTATTGTTGCTATAATGTATAAGTATTAAACCTACTATGGTGGAGAGGTCAAGTTGTAGCTATGAGTCGTCATAATTGGAGGCTCTGTTGTCACACAGGATTACCCCAGCACGAGATCTTTACTTAAGGTACTAATTCCATCTGCATCTGAAGAATCAACGCATGGAGGGATCGCCAGGCCCTTAATGCGCAACATTAATAATGACGGCTGACCACAGCCAATCACAAGGGAGCCATCGCCGGTTCCAGCCAAGCAGCTGTGGACAAACAAGCTTGACGCTTGAGGCCAGCTTGCCTCAAGTTTACTCGCCTCTCTCCACCACGTCGAATGGATGCCTCATCCCGGCCTGTTCCAGTCCTTCCTTCGTCTCCCTCTTCCCGTCTTCCCCCTTTCTCCGCTTCTTCCTCCCTCCATGACCCTGCGGATCCCTACTCTTCCCACGAACATCGTCATTCCGCAGCGGATCGTCCTCAGGAGGTGGAACTCCAGTCTCTAGCATGCAGCACCGACACGCGTGAACACCACCATCCTTTACATTACACAGACCACCTCTCTGACTATCGCCCCGAACACTCCGCCGTTCTCTCACCTTCACCAACTGAACCCGACGACTCCGATTCGGATTCCCCCAGTCACTCTCTACACTCACGACACCCGCACGCTCCCTCCCATCGTGGCAAATCACCCATGAAGCGCAAAGGCCGCACGGTCTTGAAACGCCGCTCCAAGCCCTCCTTGACCATAGCGACGGGCCAGAACGGCTACGCGAGCGACAGCATGGATTCCTCCATCGAGATGCGAAAGAGGGACACCTCTGTCGAGTCCACGTCCGCTCGGGCGAATCGCCTCATGTCACGTCCTAGTTTCACTCTCGACCAAGATCCTCCAATGACCCCGCAAACGCCCGCCATGACGACGACCTCTTTCGCGAACCTGCCCGCCAGCGACCGGAGAAACTTTTTGCTGCTGTGTGTGCTATACTTCCTCCAGGGTATCCCCATGGGTCTGGCCACCGGGTCCGTCCCATTCCTACTGAAGCCGTACCTGTCATACGGTCAAATCGGTGTCTTCTCACTCGCATCCTACCCCTACTCGTTGAAGCTGCTTTGGAGCCCTATCGTCGATGCCATCTGGAGCCGGCGGTTCGGCAGGCGCAAGAGTTGGATCACACCCATCCAGGTCATCGCCGGATTGGCCATGATCTATCTCGGCGGACGCATTGAAGAGATGATGCAGCAGGCGGGCGCCAATGGTGGTGCTGGGGTCTGGAACTTTACATACTGGTGGTTCTTGCTGGTGTTCTTCTGCGCTACGCAGGATATTGCGGTCGATGGGTGGGCAATTACCCTCATGTCGCCACCAAATATCTCCTACGCATCGACTGCCCAGACCGTGGGATTGACAGCCGGCCACTTCCTGTCCTACACTGTGTTTTTGGCCTTCAACTCGGCCGACTTTGCAAACCGCTGGTTCCGGGCCGTTCCTGCGGATGGTGGATTGCTGTCGCTGGGCACGTACCTGAAGTTCTGGGGCTGGGCTTATCTAGTTGTTACGACTTGTCTGGCCGTCATGAAGAAGGAAGACCGGACGCATGAACGCGATAGCATCATGGACGTGTACCGCAGTATGTGGAATGTGCTGAAGCTTAAGAACATTCACACCATTATCCTAGTTCATCTGATCGCCAAGATTGGTTTCCAAGCCAACGACGGCGTGACAAGTCTGAAGCTGTTGGACAAGGGATTCGGCCAAGACAACATGGCGCTAGTGGTGTTGATAGACTTTCCTTTTGAAATCGGGCTGGGATACTACGCTGGCAAGTGGTCGACGGAGTACACGCCCATGCGGCTGTGGTGCTGGGCGTTCATCGGACGACTGGCGGCAGCCGTCCTGGCCCAGATCACGGTCATGATTTTCCCGTCGGCCGAGCAGGTCCCGTTCTGGTACCTACTGACTGTGATTGGAGAGCATGTGTTTTCGACATTCATGAACACGGTGATGTTTGTGGCGGTGAGTGCATTCCATGCGCGCATCGCCGACCCAAGCATCGGCGGTACTTACATGACGATGCTCGCAACGTAAGTTTTACTACTCTACCCTACAAGTGACCTTCACTAATCATATAACAGTGTCTCCAATCTGGGCGGTACATTCCCCCGATACTTCATCCTCAAGCTAGTGGACATGTTCACCGAGGCAACATGTGTTCCACCAACGGTGCCACCTACGTCCGAGAAACTAAAGGGTGACCTCGTCACGGAGGCCTTCTCATGTGCACTAGAGCCAGACCGGACACGCTGCGTCAACGGAGGAGGCACCTGCCACGTCCAACACGACGGATACTACACGACAAACATCCTGTGTGTGTTGATTGGCGTAGTGACATTTTTCTTCTTCATCCGGCCGGCTGTTTTGAAACTGCAGGGTCTGCCACTCCGGGCGTGGAGATTAACCCCGGGCAGACACTAGCCAGTCCGTTTCCATGATGTATTTTAAATATAGCATAAAACCTTCAAGAGTCTAGACATGAATGAAGAATCCGACGGATGCATTGAAAGTATCCAGATGACACTTTGTGCGAGGGTAAGCGAGCCCATGGTTCGCTCTCTGGTCCGGATCCCTGCATTAGCGGAGATGTGAAGCACTAGCGTGCCTGATCTGCAGGGTCTGTCTGTATGATATAAATATAGACAGCCCAGCCTCCTCCCATATTATTTCCTCTGACTTCCCATGAATAATTACTGTGATTACTAGTATCAAAAATGAAGTTCACCCTCCTCCCCACCCTAACCACCCTACTTCCCATTCTCCCAGGGGCATACACCTCCTCCTTAGATACCCTCCGTTACAAAAACGTTCGCCCCCCTTTCCCCCTTCCCCAAAATTATAATATTACTCCCACTAACATCACCCCACTACAATGGTATACAGTGGGACCTCCGCCTCTTCTCACCAGGCTGCGACCCCAACACCACCAGCTTCGAGCTATCCCTCTTCCACCGACAAGGCGTGTCAGGCACAGCAGATGGATGCCAGACCCTCGATTCCAGCGTGAATGTGTCCGCGGTGGACACCTTCTCGTGGAAGAGTCCCGGCGCGACGACATACGATTTATGTCTGTATGATGTGTGCGGGAGCAGCGGGAATGGCTCTGGAAGGGTAGAGGTGATTCGCGATGGGTGGGAGGTTTGTGTTAAGTATTGGGGGTGGATGGGGTGGGGGGTTGTGGAGCATGGGGGGGATTGTTGACCTCCCTTCTTCTCTTCACTTCACTTCGCTTTCTCCGGCGGTTGATGATATGTTATGGTGGAGGGGTATGAGATCATATGTAATAGATATGAAAATGGTATATATATATATACAGAGCGGAGATTGTCACGACTAGTTCATTAGTATAATTAAGCCGTCAAATCCCTCACAGCCCAATCCACCAACGCCCTCGCATACCCGCGATGCAACCTCCCCACCCAAGCAGGAACTATTTTCTGCGTTTGTTCTTCGTCACTGATAATCTGGTAGTCGTGTGCCGAGGCGAATCGTACATCGACTACCTCTTCCCCCTGGTATATATACACTTCTGAGATGTTCAGCTCGTGTCGCCCCCCGCTCATCAGTCGCCAGGGGTATCCCCATCGGGCGATTTTCTCGAAGAAGAGGCGCGGTTCGTCGGGCATGTTCCATGATAAGAGGAGGCCTGTTGTGGGGGAGGAGTGTTGGGCTGTGAAGACGGAGTTTAGGAGGGGGCGGCGGTCGCTTTCTTTGCTTTTTTCTGTTGTGGGGTCTGAGCTGTAGTTGTGGGGTTTGGGGGTGATGAATAGGGATGAGAGTTTATATGTGAGTGAAGATGTATTTGTAGGTGTCGATGTAGGTATGAACTCTGGGTCTGTGACGCCCGTATCCCCGGGACTGTAGGATTTATTCTTGATTAAGCCGGCGAGGCTGCCTTCGACGATTAGGGGTTTGGTGTTGAGGAAGGTGAGGACCCAGGCGTTGGTTAGGGTTGCTTTGTTGGTTGTGGTGGAGTCGTGGGTTTTGGGATAGGATTGGAGAAGTGTGGAGTATCGCTTTAGGAGTGATTTCACTGGTATGTGTTTGGCCTCGTAGACGTCGATTTCGGGACAGTGTTGGGTTGTTGGGTTGCTCGGAGTGCGGAGAGCGAGGCTGGTGGTGGTGGTTGGGTCGATGGGAGGATATTTGGCTTCGAGGGTGCAGAGGTAGCGGTGCGTGGTGTAGGTTAGGATGATTGGGGGTGTGGTGAGGATGAGGAGGCGGGTTGAGGGGCGCATTATATCGTTTCTATTGAAGGTGTTGACTAGTAGTAATGAAGAAGGGGAATATATAAGTAAAAATTGAAGTGGTTGTGTGCAGGATATATATAGAGTCAATGGGATAAAGAAATTTGGGCTGAGACTTGTGCTTGGATAGCTTCGGATATAAATAAGGAAGATCACTCAGTTAAGAATCAGGCTCCGAAAAAGATTTGGTCGTATGACCCTGAGTTCCGCTAATTAGCTGTTAGTTTACTATTACTTGGATTGTGTTAAGGGTTTAGTCCGATGCAGCCTGGAGGATGATCTGACAGGATGTACAATAGACGAACACAATCACATAGCAATTCAAATATTAGTATACTTTTAAGCCCAAATAAAACCCATTTCTCATTTTGGATATAATCTATTGCAACTTATGATCAGACCAGCTCATGCCCTGATAGATACTCTGTAGTAGATAATAGATTAAACCCCACCAACCCCGACCCACCCCGCCAGCCGATCATCTCATCACATCACTTCCCCGCCCAAATTTTTCTCCAACACCAACACCAACACCACCCTCACTACACCTCATTCTACATACAAACAATTCACAAACCACACCTCTACAATCAATAAAACACAGATCAACATGTCCACTCTCGACGACATCTTCGGCTCCTCCCCCCCACCCACAACCCACCACTCCCATCCCCACCCTCCCAGCACCACCACCACCACCGAACCCTCCGACCTCCCCTCCCTCCGCCGCCAACACGTCACAGCCGGCTACCGCGACGGCATCAGCGCCTCCAAAACCTCCCATGTCCAAGCCGGCTTCGACGCCGGTTTCCCCATCGGCGCCCAACTCGGCATGCGCGCCGGTACGATCCTCGGTATTCTCGAGGGCGTGCTACGCGGGTACGACGAGAGCCAGAAATCCGTGGTGAAGAAGCTACCTTCGGCGGGTGGTCGGAAGGGTGCTACCAGCACCAATGGCGCCGCCACTGCTACTTCTACTACTCCTACAATTACCGACGAGGAACGCCAAGCCAAGCGTGCGGAGATACTAGCGTTGTACCAACAGGCCGTGAAGGAGTTGGATGTGCGGAAGGTATTCGAGGGGATCAGTGAGAGGGAGATTTCGGAGGGGGAGAAAGCCGAGATTAGATTGGGAAGACAGGGTGAGGGGGCGATAGGGAAGTGGGAGGAGAAAGTGAGGGTGCCGAGGTGGGAGGAGAATATGGATGCGTTGGAGATGAAGGATACTACTGCTGCTGCTGAGGGGAAGGAGGTGGATGTGGAGGAGAGCTGAATGGGTGATTGAGGATGGTACTTTTTATCCTTCTCCCACCTCTATTTTTTTGTTTCTGGCGGGCCCTTGCGCCTGTCGGAATTCAACTAGAGGATCGGGGCGATGTCAGCCTAGCCTGGATGTTTTTTCCAGGAGACCCGCAGCAGGAATTTCCCTGCTTGCTTGCTTGTTTGCCGGCAGGCAGTCTTGGCTTGTATGCAGTGCTTCAGAACTGCATACATACGTCGGGGTCTGGTCTCGGGATGGCTACCTGGCTGGTTGGCTGGCTGGCTGGCTCCCTCCCCTGCTGCTGTCGGGACGGCAGGACAGAATGGCCGGATGGTCGAGACGGGACGTGGCTGCAAGGTACGGAGGGGACTTTGTTTGCATGGCGTTGTGCAGCTATGGCTGGGTGGTGGCTAGACCACGCTGGATGTGGAATGACTACGTTGAGAGTATGTAGTTGTGCCGAGCAGAAGACAGATACTATCCATCTATCTATCTACATGGTGTTAGAAATGGTTTGAAATAGTGAGTGGTGTCCCAAACCGCCACTACTAAAGCCTAACCTATCCATCCATCAATCTATACAAAGAAAGTTCCTAGCTAGATACGATAGACCAAAACCTAATGCACAAGACCAAGCCAACCAACCAACCATTCAACCAAAATTGACAAAAGTACTAAACTAATAAATCGAGTCCACTAAGGCCGCTCAAAACCGGTTTTATGACGCGAGTCACAGATGGTTGAAGAATCAGTAGTAGCCAGATCCTCCCTCCCTCATTTCTTCAAGGGATGGAACGGAACATCCCTAGTAAGCCCGAGCTAGCCCGCGGCCGCGTCGCATCCCATCCCATCGCTCCAAGGGATGAATGAATGAGTGAATGGATAAACCAGGGACCGAGTAGATTTTTTACTTCGGAACCCCTCGCTGGAAAAACCCCACACATGCCGGTGGAAATTCTTTTCAGTAGGTGGAATCTGGGGCCTTTGTGGTTCCGTTTGTTTTGGTTTGTTCGTATTGGGAAAGAGAACATGGTGTCGGTCAATTCATGAGGTATGGATGGATGGATGGCTACGGTGAGGAATGGGGTATTCATTGGGTGTGGTCATTGTGGTTTTCTTTGTTATTGTATTTGGTATGTATGTTTGTGGTATAGATTGAGAAGAGCTCAGTAATTGATGTAGTATGGAGTGAGTGACAGGCGCGCCCGTGCGGGCAATTGCAAGCAATAGTAGGTAGTGAGTGTGGGTGGTTAGGAGCGAGTGACAGTAGATAGATAGACAGACAGACAAGGAAATGGGTGTCATGATGGACACAAATACAGACAGGCATCAGCATAAATCAGTAAGTAAGTGAGAAAAAGGAGTGGTATGAGACCAACTATCGTAATCAGTTCGTTGCCTCATCGTTACATGAATCATCGCAGCGCGTTCGCATTGCATTGCATCGTTTCGAGACTACCGGTGAGATTTCCATCTCGTCGGATATTCGTCTCGTCAGGTCATTGATTGGACATGGGCATGGATGGTGCCGCGCATCCATCATATGTATGTGGATGGTCATCATCCGCCGGTAGGGATTTTGGCGGGTCGTTTTGCGTTCAGCGTCATAAACATTAGATCAATCATGGCGATCCATTCAGTATCGTCGGACAGGGCCGTAAAGGGTGGTTTTTGGTAGATCGTAGCAAATAGCCGTACATCATTTAACGCCGTATAGGACTTTTGGTTTTCGAACAGGAATGAGAAGATGAAAAGGATCGGGAATAACTACATGGGTCTGCGGGACCGAGGAGGTGTAATGTCGCCATGACAGCCCAGCACACGCAAGGACTCCCACACCCGTTTATAGAGTGGGGGTCGTGCCAGGGATAGGATGGCCTTGTCGGATCGCTCTTCGCGACAGAGGGTGCACACTTTCTCACGCTCCGGGGAAAGTGACTTCTTCGAGTCAGACCGGGGTCGGCGGCGTGACTTTGCTTGCATTGCAGCTGCAGTTGTTCGGTCAATGTCGATGGTGCGCGCTTGACCGCTGCCGCGCCTGGACTGCGGTGGTACTAGAGAAGTCGTGGATGGGGCAACCAGTCGCAAGGTCTCAGCTGCTGGCCGCAGAGCCTCTCGTGACCGCGCCTTGACGGTTTTCCGCGCGGGAGACGGGCAGAGATCCTCTGGAGGCTGATCGGGCATGGAAGAGAACTTCTCCAAATGATTGCTGTGCTGGCTGTTGGGTGTCTGCGGAGGTTGAAGCTTTGGTGCCGACTTGGCTACCCTTAGATGCACTCGACTGCGAACCTTCTTCAACTTGTCCATTGGCTTCTTGGACAGCGACTTGGGATCGACCGACTCGGTGTCCGAGTCGGATTCCCAGACTGACTGTTCGCAGTAAGCTGGTCGTGACGCTGAGGTGGATGGACGATCACGCGCTGAGCTGGCGGTGGGATAGCGTTCAAGCAAGGGCGACCCTGGACTGGGACTAGGTACAGGACTCGGACAATCATTTGAAGGTATGAACATTGCTTTCTCAAAATGAGTGGCGTGTGGCTCCATAGTCACGGGGTTGATGCGAGACGGGGGAGAGATCATTGACGGAGCAATAGGAGGCCGGATTGGTGGAGGGGGTCCCTTCCTGCCGCTATGGGCAATGCCATTCCGGGCTCCATTAGGTAAAGATGGCAATGGCTTCCCACGATGGGAGG